CCCAGGATGAGATCATCGAGAAATTGGCATTCATCTCAAATTTCATCAGACGCATGATCAAGAAGACCTTCGGAGCGAGCCGATATAGTTACTACCAGAAACCAGATGACGAAAGTGCCGCTCCATACAAATTCATCGACATTAGTCCCGCCATCAAATCGGAAAGGAAGAATGTCACGAAGGAGATCCTCGTTGCATGCCGCTACTATGGCATAGAGGTATCCGCTATCCAAGCACAGAAATTGAAGTCCTTCGAGGAGCAGATCCGAGCGGGAAATCCAAGGAACGTTGAGCTCATCAAGGACTACATTGGCTTTGTCGGCCCTGACTACATGCGACAACTCACGAATGGTTGAGCATTGGGGTCATGCCGACATGCCACTTCCGGTACTTCAAGTACTGAGGGATCTTGGGTAATTCATGATGACCGTTTTGGCATCATGGGAGTGAGATAGGATTGTGTTTCACACCGTTGGTAATCGAATGATACAAGTGCACGTTTTCCGCTTGTAGCTCCATTGCCTGTTTGATCCAACTTTCAAGCGAATGCAAGATCTTTTGCTAATTCAATTCAATAGGACATACTGGTTGACCTCCAATACACTTTTGAGAACGTGATTCGTTCTCCGGTTTTTTTTACATCCACTCATCTCCCTTCCCCGTCGAAGTACGGATGTGGGGGGTGTCAATAGGGATGGGGTCCCAGTATAGTCGCTATACAGGTACATGCCATATACTTTTGGCTCAAGTGCCCAACCAGGTAAAAAAGAGCTTTAGCGCGCGAGCTTCATGTTGACCTAAGAGCTAGAACGGGGCCAGGGCACACCTTTCCATCCGTTCGCATAAGATCTTAAGAAGCAATAATAGTACATAACTTCTTGGAAGTAGCAGTTGAGGCTCCGTGTGGAGCGGTCTTTGCGTGGTTGGAAACGTCGGTTTGAGCTTTTCTGAGGATGGACGAGATTGGATCGGGTTCGGGTACATCTTGGAAAGATCAGAATCACAGGTGAAGTGAAGCACCAAGAATACTGTAGAATACTGCATGTAGTGATTGGTCCCAAGAACAAAACCTTGAAGTGAAGCACTGCACAGGGAATACTGTATGCTGTATGTAGATGTCCCCTGGACCAACTGAGTCATGAAACCTCATGCTGACGTGCAGGAATTCCTTGGTGGAGTCTATTTTCGATCTTCCCAGTTGTTCTGTTTTTTCTGCAGTTCTCGCTTGCCGTCGCGAGCAGCCTTGGTTTCCTGATATGTCCTGGTGTGTAAATCCTTGCCTGGTAGAAGGATCAAAAGATGATGTTCTTTGGTGTTCCGGGTGTTCGTGGTGCCAGATTTGCATCACGTGCCCAGCCTCAAGCTGTCAATGATTGATCCATGGATACCTGCTGAATCAGGGTACAATGGAAGACACACTTCTGATGCACCAAAACTAGGCTTTTGATGCACTGAATAGGCCTGCTTTTGGAGGTAATAGGATCCAATCTTGTGAGTTTCAAGGTGACTTGGGAATGGAGCTGGATGTTCTGCTCGCTCCAATCCTTTAAACCTCACGAGTTTCGATTGGGGAACACAAGATCTTGGCCCCACTTCTGGAAACGGTTGTGGTGCTTGGAGGACCAGCTTAAGATCAAGGGAAGTCTAAAGTTGACCAGATTGAGGTCTCAGGTGGGTGTTCATCTTTGGAATCTGTATAATCATGTAGGCTCTTGATTCATAACCCCCCAATTGAATTGAACAACTTCTTCGTAGGGGTTTATCAATCAATAATCTACATTATATTTAGACGTTTTACAGTTCTCAGAAAAACTCTTCAGAAACAAGACAGAGAGGGTGAACTCAGTTCTGCAACTGTTCTGCACGCATGCGCCAGTTGATGTTCGCGTTTGGTGTTCTGGAAACTTGCCCAAAGAACCACATCATTCTTAGAGCTGCCCCCCACATCCACTGACCCGTTGAGGAGGAGAGGAGGAGTTCTTGAAACAAAATCTCTCTAATTTACTGCAATTCCTGCAATTTCCCTTGGTATCACCTTCTGCCCCGGCGGAGCCGCCCAGATCGTGCTGGGTTCCATTTGCTGTTTATGTTCGATGGTGGGTGTCTTCTACTTTGCCTGGGGACCCGGACCAACGGCGCGAGGCGAAGCGTCGCACGCGGCGAGTGTGGCCATGGCATCGCACGGAAGCGTCGCACGAGTCCAAGGATTGGAGCCCCAAACAGACTTGGAGCCCGTCTCACCTTTCTCTGGGGGGGTTGATTCTCCGGCTGGATCTACCAACGACTAGTCCTCCAAGATCAGCCGAAGGGAGAAAGAGCTTCTGGCTCGCGGTGGGACCCCTCGAATTCGTTTCGGCTCTCTAAAGGAGCCAACCAAAACCTATGGATGAAGAGATCAACGATGCGTCAAGATGTGTCAAGTTTCAAGGACTCAAAAAATGTCCGACGCGCTTTGATGAACCAAGGAAGGGACCATTTGTTGAGGCCCAACAGAAACCCTAAGGGTCCTAAACAAGCATGATAGTTCAAGCAAATATGTAATATGTTGCATGAATTACTCACCCTTGAACACATTTGAACACCAGTTGGATGACTTACATATACTGTAATATATTGTACAGTATGTATTATATCCCTGCGTGAAAGTTCAATCACCAAGTGAACTACCCAACCTCACTGGATGGCAGAGGAGTGCTCCGAATCTTCTTTCTCTCCTCAGTGGTCTTTGCATGCTTCACTGCTTAGCCCGGGGTGCGTGCCCCCCCAAAAAAACTGCTGCACGTGTCCACCTGGCCTCCGGTCAAAGGTACCTTCACTCCTGCTAACCAAAACAGCACACACCCTTTTCAGCATGCGTGCACCGCATTCGCAGTGCATCCTGGCCCGAGAAGAGCCTGCGGTTTGGATCGGTTTGTGCGCGGCCTCTGGATTGGTGACGTACGTGAGGTGGTCATCCAGAACATGAGCAAGGCCCATCATCGCAAGGTGCAGCCACAGGCGGCAGATGGGATGCGATGGGGCGGCGGGCGGAGCCAGCTGGTCCCTTTTTCTATCCAGTTGCACCGTGGGAGCACAATCTGCAGCGGTTTGTGACCTGGTAGATCACCCACCAAAGTGACTTTTTCCACCTGGCAGTGGGTCAATACCGCGACACCGTTGACCACCGAAAATGAACAGAATAGACTACCAGGAAGGTGCCACAGCCACCTGATTCCTTGCCCAACCTTCTCACACCACTCTCAAGACACTACATGTATACTACTATAGTATACTATAGTAGTAAGCGCCGACCTCACGCCGCTGGATATTCATGAGGCGAACTGTGTGTGTGTATGAGCATAGGGAGACCTCCCAAGCAAACGAAAGAACAAGAACGACCAGTCTCCCCAGCCTGGGGCGACCGCCCGTCGCCCCTCCGCCCAGTCGCGACCGCTGCCGGTGGTCCCGACGCCGGGACCGGCCACGCCGCGGCCGCCGCTGCCGGTGCCGCGGGCGCCGCAGCGGCCGCTGGACCCCACGGAGAAGGCGCTGTTGGAGGCGATCGAGGCGGAGGATCTGCGGAAGCTGTGGCTTGGCGGATCGGAAAAGACCAGAACAGCGCTGTCGGCTTTCAGAGTGCTCTAGAGCATGCATTGCTCGTGACTAAGACCAAAGAGATGCATGAATTGCATCATTAAAAAGGGGGTTAGATGGGGTTAGTTACGTGTCAAGTAAGTTGGGGTTGTTTTGTTTTGTTGTTTAAAACTCAAGGATGTAAACGCCACCAGCTAGTTACACAATGTAGAAACAGACACATAACAATCACATCTCCACAGCGCGGCCCCATACGCCATACGCAGTGCGGCCCCTTGTTTTGATTGGATGAGCGCCAACTTGGCGGGATTGAAGCCAATCGCATTCAACAGAAAACCCAACAACGACCTTGCGTCGAATCTCCTCCAATACGGACAAAGCCAACAAAACATGTTTTCAGAATCCCGGTTGGAATTTCCTCTATGGAATCAGGTCACCTGGGTACTGAAAATGACCATTTTATAGTAAGAATTTCTCTCTATACAACGGAGTCTCCTAGGGGTTCTGATTCTAAGACAAACAGCGTTTTAGCTAGCTTTGTCCGTGAGCTTGATGTACTAGAGCTGGGATGTCAGATTATATAGTGGTACCTTGATTTCATGTAACTGTCCGTGAGCTTCTGCATGGTCACAAGGGGGTTGTGATTTTATAAGCTCCTTGATGCTCGATGCGGTGGATGTTGATGACAATATCTGCCCAATATATCCCAATATCCTGGAATTATGTGGATGATCTTTGGATGGGTGCAGACAAGGCAAATAACAAACAGATCGGAAAACGCTCTGGCCACTATAGAATCACAGGATTTTTGGTTATCTTGATGTTATTTTTTTGTCGAAGATGGGAGGTGTGATTCTTTAGCGATCGGACTTTTTCCGATCACTGTCCGTGAGGTTGCCTTTCCGACTAAGGGGTTTGATTTTATAGTGATGTCGGTTTGTTCAGGCCTCAGATTCTATAAGGACCTAGGTGTCCCGAAGCTGGGTGGCGCCGTTTTATACTATAGAACCGGGCCACCCAGGACCGGAGGTGAATTTCAAAGGGGATTTTTCAGATATGGATTGTAAGTATAGCTAGGAGTTCTTTTTACTGGAATCATCCAGAATCTGCTTGCAAGAACTCCAGAAGCATGGTCATCATGGCTTCAAGTACTGAATTGACATACATATATATATATATGTATAATTGTCCCAGAAGCGGAGAGGGTCGTTTTCTGCCAACCAAGCGGAGTATGAATCCGAGAAGTAAAGTCAATTATATAGTTTTAGCTAAGGTTTTGATGGGCCTAAGAGTTACACATAGAGTTACCAAGGGTTCTCGAACAACTTCATTTGGATGAACAAACACAATAAAACCACAGGTTTTCCTGCCCTGGCCTGTGGAAGGTAGGAACGCGCGAGGGTTGGCCTGCCCCTTCAAGAAACCGCATGACGCCGCTTGAACGTCATTGCTATTAGAAACAAAATGAAACAAACAAAACAAACATGAACCTCAATATTTGGGACTTTGGGACCCAGTGACGATGGACAAATCACCTTTGCGTCCAAGGCGTGTGTTGCTGTCCGAAGTCCTGCTAAAGGGCTGGCCAGATGCGAAGCACACCGCCGCGCGGCCTCGGTTTCAGAGAGCTCCGCGGTATCAAGTGCATATCGGAGATAGCTGGTTGAGAAATTCACCGCGTTCTCCACATGCTCGGAGCTTTTGATATGGACTGCTGGTTGATTTTAGATGAGAGTCCATATTTCCGAGCCTTTCTCTTCCAACATTTGGGGGTTGATAAGGACCCTCAATCTGTCTAAGACATGTAGCCCTGTGCCATCTCGAACCTCTGGTTTGACCTCGCTTGGCCCATGTTTTTGCTCCAGCTTCTTCTTATACTCCACTAGACACCCCTCAAAACCATGCGGTGAAAACTCTTCGCAGCTGGTGTGGCTCAAGAGTGTGATCTCAGAAGCTTTGACCTTTGTGAAATCATCTTCGATCGTCATGACCCGTGTGCAGCCGTACGCCCTTGCCCTCGCTCTTCTGTGCCTGGCAGCTCCGAGCGGAGCCATTCGAGCGGACAACGAGCTACTTGGTGCTGGACTGACTAGGCCCTGGGGTGGATTTGCTTAGGGCGATGGTGATTTTCCCATAGATGTATGAATCCATGATACATGAATCCCCTTCTTGGGAACATGATGTGCTTTTATCCCGGTTTCAGCTGCTTCTGGTTGCTTTCGGATAGACCGTCGGATTGTCCTCTCCCGATCTCTTTGCGTCGTCGGACCGATCCACATACCCTCGCCATCCTCCCATCGAAGGTGAGGTGTTCAACACTGCTATGTAGGTGCCAGGGTGTCGTACCGAAGCTGAGGTTCGGTGGCAGTAGATCTCTAGGGGAAGGAAACTGTGCACCGGTCAAGGGATCTTGTGATTGTGTGAAGTTGGAAGTATCCATCAAGATATATCAAGATTTTACAAAGTTATCAGTTGCAAATGCTGCCGCCAAACATGGGAACATGGGCACATGCCGACACTAGCGGGGATGTGTGAGTGGGGTGTAGTCAAACGTCTCAAAAAGTCAACCCCTCATAATTATGCTCATCAATGGAATCCTTTTGAACCCTACCCGCTCTGCTTATCTTTTCCGCTTTGGTGAACGCCTGAGGCTGGAAGCCAATCAAACGCAACTGGAACTCGACCAGTTCGGGTGCGTCGGTACCTGGTGCTGCGACAAGATCAAATGCGAGGGGACCAAGTCCACGGCCGCCAACTATGAACCGGTGTCTTGGAGAGCGAAAAAGAAATGACTGAGTGAAGACTCAGATCATTTTGGTTCCACTCCCAGGCTTCAGATGGCCAGTTTGGTCAAATCAGTGTGGCCACTGGTGGATTCTTGTGGTAGTTGCACCACTAGCAGCTACTTTGGTGAATTTCACATAATTTGACCCTGTCATTTCATTCTGGTTGAGGTTGAGATTCGAGGGCCACGGATAAAAGCAAGGTGGGATGTCTTTGAAGAGGCCGTGGGCTTCCAAGCTTATTGCAAAGCGTCCCAAAAAACTCGAGGTGCAAAGACCGTTTGTTCATCTACATATACATCATGACATCATCTCATTGTTGTTTCATCAGCACTTACAATTGACCTCATGTCATCGAGGAAAGTTGGTGTACGTTTTCAGAATACACTCTGACTCACGAACATGGAAGCACTACCTGCCCCCCTGAAAGGCAACTTCCTTAAGAAGCTGCCATGTGATTCGGAGGGCATGGTCATTTTTTCACCACCTCCTCATCGACACACCCTTGTCTTTGAAATCGTGAGGGCTTCAATCAGGTGCTGTTCTCGGGTCGTTGGCTCTCACGGTTTTGGCGCACACGATCATAAGAAGTCTGTGCAGTCTGCGCCTCCTCGACACACGCCGCTGTCCCTCTTTAGTATCGTCCTGCGGCAAAACGTTGTATCCATGTCTCAGCAATACTGTACCAACACAGTCCACCCCAGCATCATCGATCACAACATTACATAATCATTGGTTTGACGACATTGTCAGTGCATTATCAGTGGTTTCCCGAGGTTTCTCATCGCCAAATCATTATTTAAAACAACAACAACAACAGCAACAACAACAACAACGGTACAACAACATCGGATTGTTTCAATGTCAGAACATTATCGTTGGCTTCACGACATTGTCATAGGTTTGCCAGGAGAACCAACTGGTTTTAAACCCTGCACGCAAGAATGGACACCACACTGTTGTGAAACTATATTGTGTCGAAACAATAGGCCAACCCTCTGGGTGAAAAATAACAACAACCACTTGCAATGTAGTAGCATTATTTTGACAAGTGATGTCTTTGTGGCTGTAGTTCTGTACGCATGTCCCACACAAATGCCTGCGATGGTGACCTTCGAGCGCACGGCTTCTGAAAAGGCCACTAAAAACAATCTTCAGATCTAATTGGACTGAACCATTCACAAATTGACTTCCTCTTGATGACTTCAACATGCCACTTGCCCTCCCGATAGTGCCATTTCCAATGCTTTTGCAACCAGAAACCACAGGGCAGCAGGTCGGGCACCAGGTCCATTTGCACCACCAGGTCGGGGCACTGGTTTTGTGTTCGTTTGTGGTGAGCTGAGGTCTTCTACAAGAACTGTGAGAAGAAGCCTGGTCTCTCGGACGATTATTCCGTAGGCTGGATCTGGACCTGTGAAAACAAGTGGGCTACTGCTACTGGTCCTACTATGTCCTACTCGGGTGCTACTCACCGCCAATGACTTCGACTGCCAAGGACAGTTCGGTTGATGTGTGTCAAAAAGGAAGGACTTCGGACCTCAATGGAACTCGGTCTGCCAGACCGGGCCGGGTCCGCGAGAAGAAGCCATACACACCCCCTGGACCAACCCTGGACCAACCCTCCGATCATCAAGGTGTTTTCTCCTTGAAACCAAACCTGAGGTGGTGATCGCCAAGTGTCACAGGTTGAAGCTGCTTAGTGGGCTTCTCTGCCTGAATAAACCCATGATACTCGTCTACTCGTCCGACTTGTCCGGATGCTGCTCATGCTGCATGGATTCAGCATGATGAAACAGATATATCCTAATCCTTAAATGCTTCCTCGGGCCTAGCATGCCCTACCACGGTAGACCGCCCTAACACCCAGATATAACCTTAAACGAACCCACGTCGTTGGTGGCCACCACTCGTGGTGTCAATCGACCGAACCGAACCGAACGCCGCGCCCCTGCAGAAACACGGCCGAACGGAGCGAGGCAAGTGGACCGTGGACGGAGCCATGGAGCGGTGCGGCCGAGGGGGATCACCCGGAGCGGGCGGTCGGGTGCGGCATCTGGTGGTGCGGGCGGCGGGCGAACTCCATCCATCAGCCCTTTTGGTTTGGAAGTCTTCACCAATGAATCTTCCTTGTGAGGTGATGTGCCATAACTACCAGAAGCATCCAGAACCAGTACCCTGGGGCTCCAAGTACCTTCTGAGAAGGTGTTTGGGGTGAGTTTGGAGGGTCCAGACTGGAGCCCTAGGGGTATATTAAGCTTCCAAAAAGTGAGCTGTGTGGGGTGGACGCCGGACGAGTGTTGCTGGTCTCGCGTGTCTTGTGCGGCGGACACCGTGATGGTCTCAACAGGAGCAACGTGACCAGAGGCTGAGGAACTCAGGCGTTGAACGATATATCCCAGACACAACACATGGGACTGCCATATATGCCTACATTGACCCCGCAAAACCACCCCAAGGTAGGCATATATGGCATACATGGAGTGTATGGGTATAGTAACTATACGTGGTTCTTCAATGTTTTTCACATAACTGCATGTCACATACCGTACCTGTTGATGGGTCAGCGATGCGAGTTGCCATTGCATACATTATATATCGAAATCCCCTGTTGCCAGAGGGCTGCATTTGTCCCGCTGCTTTTGCTGGACTCGCAGGTGGAAAAGTACAATGGCTTTGTCCATCAGTGAAATTGAAGGACTGTGATGTGGTTCTCAAGTTTGTTGAAATTGCCGTGAGGGTTCACTTCAAGCAGCTCTTCATCGCCCGAGAATTCCACCCATCCATGTAGCATGCAATGATGCAATGGTAGGTTCACTCCAACGGTGGGTGAGACCCCGAATATGCCAAGTTCAACTTTCACGTCCAATGGTTATTCACTCTGTCTACGGAAGAACCACAAGTATTCTTGCACGGGAGTATGGTGTTAAGAGGATCTCATGATATCTCACGAAACCTATAGACACGAGACGTCTTTCCGTTGGAACGTGCCAAGTACATCGTTCGTACCGTGAAAAACAACGGTCGTCGCGGTGTTGACCCAACGGGGCATGGACTTCCAAGCCTCGTTGTCTCGGCGGCCCAAGGAACTGTGGTGACTCCAGGCATGGTCCAAGGCAGCGTCTCATTCAAGCTCGATTCGCGGGCACCATACATGTGCGAGGAGGACCGGATTGTGGGTTTCGTGGACTGTTTCGGTCGAACATCTAGCATATCCGCAGTGGGACGGGGACTCTGAATATATTATCAATTCGCTTGTTTTATTTATGTATAATATTCAATTAGATGTTTGCCTGTGAATGGTGTCTTTTTCAGTCACTTAGGAATCTTGTATTTTGTTCACTTTGTATCAGCGTTTGCGCTCCTTTTCGACAGGAATGCAGTGTCTACAAAGACACCGGTGCCATCCGCCCTCCTCAAATCTACAAGAAAACCTCCGTCTACCGAGGGGGCGGCGCAGGCCACGGCGTCGCCTTGGCCGCATCCGAGGTCGGTGGGGATTGAAACGTATGTGTTGGACGTGGGTGTGCCATAGGTGCTTTCTGGCATTTTCTTGCGCCTTGATATCGCTGCGGAATTCAGCCTTTGAACAGAGGGATGCGTTTGGTCTTGAACGGTTGCAGACCGGGCTCAATCGACGCAAGCAGTTCGCACCGGCGTGTCGTCGCGCGTGTGTTTTGTTCCGTGCCGTGTCTCGACCTGACTCAGCGACCGAGTTCATCGCGTGCGTCGTCCGACCAGCGTGAGTGACCAGCGTGACTGACCAGAGGTATCAAGCCAATATACCCGTCACACCCCAGAAGGTACGACTGGAACCCATTGGAACCACTCTAAACATCTCTAATAGCCTATAGAGATCCTTGGATCCACCGTCTGCAGAAGGTACGACTGGACCCTCCAGCCTCCAATGCCTATGTAAGAGTGTCTCCATTCACCGAGTAGGAGGGTGGCAGTGGATCCATAGGCATGGGCCTGGGTATCCCCCAAAGAATGGGGTCCGAAGGAAATCGGGGGCGAACCGCCATGAATGGACCCAACCGCATGACAAACGGATCCACGCTGTTTTTGTTCGGGGGGAAGCTTCAGTCGCCGCTGAGTGTAGGCGCTAAGAAGGACGTCCATGTGTTTTTTCTTCCAGATCGCCTTGGAAGGTTCACTGCTTGCGGTAGGTCCCTCGTTTCCTCACACGTTAACGAGTCAAACACACTTGAATGCATGTTTGAAGATTTGGAAGAACACTATTGTTGGTATTCAGGTTTACGGTGTTCATGTGTTCCAACGGACTTAATTGGATACTGCAGTTTGAGTTCCAAACAAGGAACTGTGGTTGTTCTGGATTCCCCGCATTAAAACTTCATTCTAGTTAAGCTGGGAGCCAGGAGAAATGATTGACATCGTAGCTTCTTCCTATTCCCCTTGGAAGTCGTATTCGCGGCTTCGTCGGTCATCCAGGATTTCTCCCCCTGTTTGACCTCGATGTGTGTCCAAGGAGAATGGAAAGGCAGAATGCGTGTTTGGCACGATGTGGCTCAAATTGGCGCCAGATGCGAAACCCAAGATGGTCTAATTCTTGGGCCTTTCGATCCTATAGCGGTTCCTCATCCCCAGAACCCGGGGGTTGGAGCACGTTCCCGAGCTTTGAACGCAAAGCCGTTTCCAACTCGCTGCGCTTTTGCGGGTCGACACAGAAAAAGGAGGCCGGAACCGGAACTTCCTGCCGAACCAGTGCCTGAACCGGGTTGATGTTCGGATGCTCCGGTGGCTGTGGAGAGTCAAGTTGACATGATCAGTGTGGCGAACTTCCGATGGACTTCAACCGGGTCGATCTCCTTTTTCTTGAGGTCACTTGTACTCGTAATCATAGGCCCTGTTGGCCCAGGGTCACTGGATTGGACTCCAGGTCGTTCGGTCACGAAGAAGCTGGTGATTGGAACTTTGAGGGTCCCAGTAGATTCCTTTGCTTGTAATTACAATTCTAATTAAATGCTTCTTGTTACTAGTAGTAAGGCACTTGTTACTACTAGTAAGGCACTTGTTCCTAGTAGCGATGCACTTGTTACGTTCGTAGCTTGTTTTCGGTCACCCAAACACTGGAACCCGCCCGGAACTTCCGGACGCTCTTACGACTGGTAGCGGCCCTTCGTCTCGGTATCCGGCCTCCCGAACGGTTCCTGTCAAGAGGCTGATGATGATCAGTTCCCAACAGGTGTGTGCTCATTCTCAGATTGTCAGGACTGTCAGGACTTCTAGTTCCGGTGTGTCAGGGCTGGGTGCAAAACAGGCTGTGTCCTTTTGCAGCTGTGTAGAGGTGTGTGGTGCTGGTTTGTTGCCGCACAAACACTAGAGTCCGTTGATCAGAGAGCACCATCACTGGAAACTGGGTTTGCTCCTCGAGAATTCACCCAATATGGTGCACGTGTTGCAGTAAGATCGATCCCAGACACTCCATGTATGCCATATATGCCTACATTGACCCCCAAAACCACCCCAATGTAGGCATATATGGCATACATGGAGTGTTTGGGTATATTATATATATATATATGCCTATACATATATATAGGCGCTTTGGCGGTTTTGGGCCGTCAATGGGGCGGCAGTCCGTCCTGGCAGTCCCAGACAGCGGCGTGTCGGTCGTGTCTGGAAATGTCGGACGCCGGATCTCGGACGAGATCACGGACGCCCTGTTGGATGGAGAAGAATCCTCTTTGGTCTTCTTCAAGATTCCTCTGAAAGACGGATTTTCAGATCAGGGTGTTTCACTGCTTTTTCATTCGTGCTGTTTGACCAGCTAAGGAGATGGTGTTGAAGGCTTTGGACGCCGTCCAGAAGCTGCGGCCCGTGGCCACACGAGCCCTGCGCGAGGTGCATTTTTTCGTGTTGTTTTCGGCGTGGTCGTGGGGTGGGAAGAGCAGGCGGTGGTGGGAGTCGATCCTGGTGTTTCACATGGGGAAGATTTTGTGGCAGAAGCTGCCTTTCGCAAGGATTTCGGAGTTCATGTGGTGATTGGCGAGAGCATCAACACGTGGACAAGAAACCAAATTTTTTCTTTTGCGCTGCCCAAAAGTGGTGTCCACTGTAGACGGACTTGGCTACCACTCGAAAGGGAAGCAGCGGACTTGCTACGGAGGTTTGGACTTTCACCTCAGACTTCACACTTCCCCAAATCCAGGCAACAAAACATGGCATCACATGCCAGCACCTTCATTCCGGGGTCACCTGGCTGGTTTCGCCCCTTACACTACACAAAAAAGGGGACCTCCAGACAGGACACCCCGGACGAAGGTCCAGGTGTGATTTGGCGGGTGGAACACCTGATGAGACCCCATGGACCCCTGGCCGCGATGTGGAAGCGGAAGCACACCGCTCACAAGCACCGGGGGGAAGAACGGTGCTCCAAGCGGCATGGACAAGAGCATGAGCTGGGACTGGAAGATCGATACATGGACCCCCATTGATGACCGTGTCCTAATTATGGTAAGTATTCCATACATGGATGCTTTGAAACGTCGGAAAAGGTATTCACCCTTGGAGATTCAAAAGGGGACAGGAGTGAGAGGCCATGAGGACTGGGGTGGGATTTTACAAGGACATAAATATATATACATCCCTATGGATCCACATACCTTCTGAGAAGGTGATTGGAGACTATTTATGTAGGCTTGGAGGGTCCAATTGCCTTCTGAAAAGGTATGTGGATCCATAGGGCATCATATGCAGGACATCATGCATGAGAAAACACATATTGGCTTGAGGGTGCACATGTGTAGCTTTCGGCCAAACTCTCCAGCCATTGCGGTTCAAGGCTTTAGTTGGAAGCCTCCAACTTGAGTCAATGGCTACTTAGATGGCAACGCCCAAGCCCTCACCGCAGAGAGGGTGAAACATCCTTTGCGTTGGAAAACAAAGCGCCTCTCTTTCGGATGGGATTTCTTCCCTGCTCCGGACCCTGCGCCCGGGTGGTGACGACTTCATTTACTGACTATTCGGAAGATGAAGGGTATTTGGCTGCTTGGCACCGTGAGAAGTGGGGAAGTGCAAAGATGCTGTGGCAAAATAATAGTTTGCCAACACCAACGCACACAACAGATCTCCCCAGCAGCTGTTCTTTGTTGATGGAGGTGTGTTTTGATATCTCACACAAGCAAGGGGGAGCCCACGTGAACTGTACTTAAGTTGTTTGGATGTGGTGGGCTTGCAGGACATTTGCTCAGAACAGCACCGTGGAGTCACACGTCCGTGTACTGCCGGTTCTGTTGGGCGTGGGGCAGGACGAAGTGTTCTTCTCTCCGTCTTTGGGCGTAGAACAACACGTTCAGCAAGGCAAGGCACATGTATCATGGCCATCAATCTGAATCGATCCAGACAGATCATGTGACTTTTGTCCCCGGTCCAATAGTGTGGTGAAAAGCCTACTGGGGGTGTTTATCCATATTTATCCATTTGCGCGGGGTATGGTGGGGCATATCAGTGATGGTGGCCACAATAGAACACGGTCAATCCATTTCTCATCTTCCATCAATCTCCGGGGGCACCGTCCGACCATAACAAACAGCAAATCTGAATCTCTCCCTTTGAAGACTTTTTCCGACCATCCGACTTGGGATGTACTTCTAGCAAAGCTCCAGTAGGACAACGGAGTACTTTTGGTTGGACCTCATCCGTTTCAGCCCTGGGCGCCATCAGTGGTGAAAGGGTGCTGAGACAAACTCTATGGAATGACGTCAGACGCTGTTGTTTCTGACGGCTCCATCAGACCCTGGACCCCTTGTCACATGTCATTTTCGCTCGGGAGATTTAGGGGGAATCCTTGAGGTTCTCTTCCGAGTAGAAAAGGCCGATTGAAGAGATAGAAGCCTGTGCTGCCTCAAACATGTTAACGGTTGATTCATAGATCCATATGTGCATGCATATGTCTTGTAAATGTGTATATATATATAAGGCAATGTCCTTGCATAGAGGTGTTATCATTTTGCAATCGGGTCCTACCCCTAGTGGAATCAATGTCGCTCACAATCTTTTCTCCAAGTTCAGTCAGTGAAAAGGTGATTGATCAGCCACTCTCACGTCACTGCACCTGCAAGCAGAACATCTTTTGAGAAGGAAATCATGACACCCAAGACAATAAAGCATTGACTTGACTCCAAAGACCATGGCAGTAATGAAGCACGGACTATCACAGATACAATCAGAGACCTTTTTCACTCTCACTTCAACGAAAGCCGTCGTTGCAAGGATTCTAGCTCTTTGTTCAGGATTGCACTGCGATGCTCCAATGAACGATTCCTATTGCCTAAGTTGCCCATGAACGCCAGTGCGCACCAAAAGCAGTCTTATCAACTCGAATGTATGTGAGCTTGAACCTGCCCCACAAAGAAAGTTGAAAAATGCTACGCAAAGCCTAGGGCAAGCCACTCAAGATGAAATTTTCATGACAATCTTTCTCATGGACTTTGTAGCAAAGGTGGCAAGGATCGTCCAAGGCTGAATCCGTTTGCAACTCAAAGTTGCGGAAAGAGGTTGAGTCCATTTGCACTCCCATGTCATTGGAAGATACTGTTTGCACGCTCAAAGAAGTCTGGGCACCTGTCGACACCTTGCGCTTTTGACTCGATGTCCAATTCCTCCAGCGGCTTGAAATTCGGTCATAAAGCTGAATCTGTTGTTTGATTGCATCTCAAACACTTGACCCCTGAAAAACTGAACAATTCCTGGAATAAAAACATAGTCCAAAACTTGCTACAATCTAGACGGAGCATCTCTGACTTTCATAGATCTTGTGCATAGCAGAGTGTTTTAGGATCATCCTCCTGTGGAACATTTTGGTCCAAGTATTTCATCCGACGTGTAGCTTTTGGCTTCGTTTCCTGCGGAGAAGCAACCCCACGCGAACGACCCGTTGCATGAGATTTGAGAGTGCAAATCAAAAGTGAAGGATCAGTGATTCAGTGGTTACTTCATACTAACTATTACTCATGCTTGTTCAAACTGTTTGTCGTTCACTGTGGATTAGATTCTGCCTCCCGCCACTGGACTGACCAATTGACACCTCATCCCTTGATCCCCTGAAGTTGCCCAGTACAACTGAATCTAAGTTCTGACTGAAACGAAACATGTTGTCTCATTGAAACTCAGCTCGGCTTTGACCAGCCTCTAGTCACATTGAAGCCAAGCAGATCCTGCAAAGCCAAGACTCTTCAAGCACTTCTCGCGATAGCTCATTACGCCTCCTCCGCAGTGTGAGGTCCAGTCCTCTCTGCAGCATCAGGTCCAGTCCCCTCTGGAGTGCCAGGTCCAGTCCCCTCTGCATTGTCAGTCGATGACGCCGCCAAGTTCAGCTGCGACGGACGCTTCAAGCTGGGCTTCGGCTTCATCTTCGCGGTCAGCTTCGCCTTCTCCTTTGGCTTCACCACAGATGATCTTCGCTGGAAGCTTCGGTGCATGCCATGGAGCATGGAACGCCGAGTCAGCTTCCGATAGATGCAACGATTTCCAACTCAATGGCAATCAATGCGCAAGACATCACATGACAAGGCAAACCAAATTTCAAAACGTTTCAGAAGATCT